GTGTGTGTTACCTTTCTCCCCAAAGATCCACCTCTTGTTCATGCTGGTGGTGAAGAAAATCGGTGTCTGAGTGACGCACATCAGCAGGTCTGTGATTGCCAGGTTAATGATGAACATGTTGGCTGGCGTTCTGAGGCTGCGGCTCCTGCAACACACACACACCTGTACTTCACCTGTTTGGACACCATGATGACTTCATGTATTTATGAGACACACAGTGTCTCTGTGTGTCTGATCTGGTTTAACCGTGTTTAACTGGTTAACTGCAGGTAACCAGCTGAGCTGATCATGTGACTACCAGCCACAGCAGCAGGCGTCAGGACCTGAGGACAGAGTCCAGTCTGGTCTAGAGGAAATGGAAAAATCACTTGGTGATGCTTCTAAAATTAACATGTGATCAATGAGACTCCGTCATGGACCAGATTGTGATGGATCAATACCTGCCCCATAAACACTGATCAATAAGTGGGTCGGTCTGTATCTGTGTTTATAGACAGACTGAGGACTCAGGTCCTGATCCTCTTCATGGGGGGGGGGGGGCTAAAACCTCAGTCTGAAAACTTTCAGAGTCCATTACATCAGTCTGAGCCTCAACTGTCACACCATGTCCTCCTCAAACTCAGAGAAAGAGAGGGGACAGAGACAGAGACAGCAACTGAGACAGAGACAGAGTCAGTCAGAGAAAGAAACAGAGAAAGAAACAGAAACAGAGACAGAGACAGAGACAGAAACAGAGACAGAAACAGAGACAGAGACTGAGACAGAGACAGAGACTGATTTCAATTATCAACAGCATAACAAAAATATTTGAAAAACTAATCTTTAATCAATTATCTAAATATCTCAATGACCATAACTTATTATCCCCACACCAATCTGGTTTTCGACCAAATTTCTCGACCAACACTGCTCTTTTAAAATTCACTATCAGCATCTGACAGCAAGATGCCAACAGGTGCTATATTGATCTCACCAAAGCTTTTGACATGGTTGATCATTATCTTCTCCTGGATAAACTGTATACAATTGGTCTGTCTTCTGACTCTTTATTATTTTTCAATTCTTTTTTTCATCACAGAAGTCAATGTGTTATTTTTCAGGGCAGTCAGTCAGACTTCAAAATTATTGATAAAGGAGTTCCACAAGGTTCATCCTTAGGTCCTCTTTTATTTTGCATCTTCATCAATGATCTTCCACAAATCAGTTCCGACTGTTTAATTCATTTATATGCAGATGACACTGTAATATACTCTTCCAGTTCCGACATCTCACAAATTCAACACTCCCTACAATCTGATTTTAACTTAGTTCAGAAATGGTTCTCTTCCAATAAGCTTCTCTTGAACAAGAATAAATCTTATAATATGTTGTTTTGTACTTGACCTAATTCTTTGCCCTTAACTAAAAACTGGTCCATTACTTTCCTTGATGGAACAGCTCTGACAAAAGTTGATGAATTTAAATATCTTGGTCTCTGGCTTGATTCCCAGCTCTCCTTCAAAACTCATATCAACTCAATCTCCAAGAAAATATATGGTCAACTGAAATCTCTCTATCGTTCTGCTGATTGTTTCTCACAACAAATCCGTAAAAGAATCATAACTGAACTGATACTTCCATTACTTGATTATGCTGATGTTATCTATGGGAACACCTCAGATAGAGACACAATAGTCTCTGTAGATTTGTGCTTAGATGTCCCTATAAAACCCATCACTGTCTGTTATATGAGTCCTTGAACTGGCTGGCCCCAAAGTCAAGAAGGCAACTCCACTGGTCACTGTTTATTTTTAAGTGTATTCATTTCAATTTCCCTTCATATCTGAAACATTACCTAATTCCCTTTAGTTCACAGTACAGCTTAAGGCATACGGATCATCCCTTCTTCCTTACACCCAGAATCAACAAAGAAATAGGTCGTCGTGCATTTAAATTTAAAGCTCCAACAGACTGGAACAATCTTCCCCGTTCACTCAGGTCTATTACCTCTTTCCATATCTTCAAATCATCTCTTCTTACTCATCTTCAAACATCCTGCTCCTGTTTCTGATCTCTCTCTATGTTTTGTTATTTTTCTTCTCTCCTCTCCCTTATGCTGTTTATTATATGTATGTGCATTCATGTCACCTTGCAGTTGTATTTTGGCAGATGATTCACTGATTGG